AGGGGATGTGACCCAGAATGAAAACAGAAGATGTAGAATGTAGTGATGCTTGTGAATGCTATGCAAAGCTGCCTATCAACAAAGTGCTGAGAAGTCTTGAGAAGTTCTTATCAGCAGAACTTTGCTTGAAATTCATGAAGGTGCATAAAAAGGGTGAGACATACCCACAGCGGCCCTATAGGTGTTACACCGTTTAACATTTTTTACATTTGGTGAGTTCAGCTTTGGTGATGGAATAGCAACATAAGCCCAAAAAAAGGAGCCCCGAAGAGAAGGATTTTCCCCCTTCCTCCCCAAAGCATTTTTTCTTTCCCTTGCAACCAAGATGTGAAAAATCCAAAATATAAAAATGCCATGTTTTAAATCAGGAGGGGAATCTGTAGCCAGAAGGAAAATGGGGAGGTAGGAGTCTATGTGAGACAGAACATTTACATTTACCTTACAACGTATTTGATGAGCCATACTGGATGTGGACCATGGCTCAAAGAATGGAAGGCAACAGTCTCTTACAGAAATAATTTGCATGGATGAGACATCACTCCTATAAAACAACTGCTATATCCCAAGACAACTTTTGTTAATCAATTCTGAAAACATTAATTCTTAGCAGGTGTCGTGGTTTAACCCGGCTGGCAACTCAGCACCACGCAGCCGCTCGCTCACTCCCCCCCCCCCCCCCCACCGGGTGGGGGGGGCAATGCACAATGCAATTGCTCACCACCCGCCGACCGATGCCCAGCCCGTCCCGAGCCGCAAGCAGTCCCCGAGCCGCGAGCGACCGACCGAACTAACTAACCCCCCCCCGAGCATGACGTTATATGGTATGGAATAGCTCTTTGGTCAGTTTGGGTTAGCTGTGCTAGCTGTGCTCCCTCCCAGCTTGTTATGCACCTGGCCGAGCAGGAGAAGCTCAAAAAGTCCTTGAGTAGTCTGAGCACTACTTGGCAACAGCTGAAAACATCAGTGTGTTATCAACATTCTTCTGGTACTAAATCCAAAACACAGCACTATGCTAGCTACTGTGAAGAAAATTAACTCTATCCCAGCCGAAACCAGGACAGCAGGTAAACTAATTTGCATGTAAAGTGATAAATTATTAAATCTGCTCCCACAAAACAGCATTTGATTAAAAATACTTTAACACTTGTAGCCTTTAAAATATTTTCATTAATTTAAAACTGTAAGCTCTCTAGACAAGGACACATTCCCTATTTGCCCAAAAACATGCTACACACATCTAGTTTCATATAGAAATAATAAAGAAAAGTAATAGTCTACTTAATTATTCATCACTTGTTAAATTGGTTAAAATATTATTTACAGCTGCACAGGAATAAAGGCAATGACAAATTTTCCTCAGCCAACCATCTATGACCATACACATCATATATATAAAGGGACAGATGACAGAATGCTATAGTAATGCAAAAATATACATAGACAGGCTCAGATTCTCACCTGTTATAAAGCAGCATGTGTATATGTATGTGTACGCACACATGCATGCTTACACTGGGTGCAGACACGATCCAAAATTCTCTACCAAGATGGACTCCCTGATTACCATAGGAACAGAGTATGTTTAAGCGCAAGCTAAGAAACAACTTGCTCTGCATTCATTTGCAAAGTTATCACCCTCATCGTAACTGAGCTGAGAATGAGACTTGGCGTATTTTAAGCTCTAATAAAATCAAAAGGCAACCAACTGTTTCCAGTATCCCAGAAGCTGGCTTTTAAAACCCAAGGCTCCCACTAACATGCCTTATGTTACTGGTCAGATTAGAAATAACCAAGGCGATGAGCAGCATTCCCAGGTTATGACTAACCCAGTACACAGAAGTCTTAAGCGACGTCCTCCAAAATTGGGGAAAAAGCGGTGGGGGTGCAGGGAGGAAAGAAACCGTTAAGTATGTGAAATACTTAACACTGAATGAGTTGTCTTGTGAAGTCACTGGAGTATTCTTCCATTAAAGAAAATAGAATCTAAAGAAAAAGATATGTAAAGCAATTTCTTCAGTGACAAAATGAAAGCCTTGTAACAGAAACAAAAAAAGGTCAGGTAGGTGTTTGCGGAAGAAAGAAAGGCCTGAACCCCAAACATTACTGAGTCTTAAGAATACCATTAACAGATTTAGCTGGTGTCATGACCCAGGTATGTTGGTATGTTGGACCGCTGTAAGGAAAGACAATGCACATTCATTCTCACTTAAGTGACTGACACATCATGATGATTATGAATGACATTTTGTTGGCCTAGAGTATTCACCAAACCATCAGTTCCCAAAATGTGGTCATCAGTACTATCAGTAAAAACAGTAAGATCCAACAGATTAGTGAAGCCATATCTCTGCAATATTTTCAGTTAAAGTTTGATCACAGAGCTCATCATGAGACCTAACAGCGTGAGCAGTTTGTCAACCTCTATCATCCATAGCTGAGAGCTGAATACAAGACAACTTTGACAAATTAAAAAAAACCCCAACATTAAATACTAAAGGGGGATGGTAGGCAAACAGAGCAGAAAGGGAACAGAAATTTTAATAAAGTTTAACATAGGTCACTTGAGATTAGAAAGAAAAAAAAAAACATGATGGGCAAAGGACAGGAAAGAAAGGAAAACCATCCCAAAAAAAAAAAAGTCTAATTACAGACCACAAAGGTAGGAACATAGGCACAGCTCCAGAAATTTATGCTTTAGGAACTGTAATGCTGTTTTGTGGTTTTACAATACGATGGTGACAGTAAGATGTCATTAAAGCAAAAATGCAAAATTTGTGGGCTTTGCATCGTTTTTCAGAAACAGTGTAGAGTCATTAGAATTATGTGAAAGGACAAGGAGATTTGTTATATAGAGTTTCAATGTGAAATATGGTCACAAATATTCCCTCATTTTCCATAGCTGTCAAACAGCAGTTTACCATATCAGCATTACCGTCAAAAAGGGAATATAATACAGAACAGCAGCCAGTAAAGTTTATGTAGCTAACACACTAAAGCCAAACAGTCCTACAACTAGGGACCAAACAGTATTCTATATGTGCTTCACCAGTATAATTATATTTATAATGATATTTTGGTATAAGGGTTTGTGGTATAACAGCTTCAAATCAGGAGAGAAGCAGATCATACATATCACCTTACACTAAAACAGAAAAAAATTAAACTGCACTATCACATATTTAAAACGTGACTGCAGCATTATTTTCAAAAAATTAGCAAGAATTTTTAGCATAAATATATTTAAACTACCTTTTCTTGTAAAGGAAAAAACAATTTAGAGATTACTTGAAAGAAAAGAAAAGTACTTTCCCAATTCCTGATGTATCACTTCTGCTCTGATAAGGTCAATGCGCAACCCTGAAGGTAAAGTACCTAGCTGCTAAATTATTTTTCAGATCTATTACCTCATGGAACTGGAGGTATAAGCAGTCCTGTAACTCTGAATGCACCATTACTCCCAATAATTTTTAATTCTCCATATATTTCTTCTTCTGGAAGGTAAAATATTCAGAACACTATTGATCCACAGTTCTCTCATCTGTGAAGATTCCTTGCTCCCTATTTTGAAACAGAACCAATGCTTCCAGTGGCAGGAGGAGCTTTACCACACCAATTCCAAACCCAAGGCTGCCCCTCTCTGGAGCAGGTTTACCTTAGCACAATCAACATGGCAGTCTGGCTCATGGAAATGATAGGACAAAAGACATGCAACACTCCCAATCTTCAAAGTATCACATGAGATGGTAATTTCAGCAGTAAAAGTTGTATGTATACAGTTAGTATGAGCCAGAGCTACTTAACAGTATATCAGTCCAAGCTTAGACAGAACCGCTGCAGCATCACTTCTGCACAAGTAACTAGGATGAGGAGGGAGGAGAAAAAAAAATTAAAAATTTTTTTTAAATCTCCCTTAATACTTCCCCAAATGTTAACACAAAGTGTGTTCATTTGCTTTAAGTCCTAAAAAGCTCTGAGGATAAATTTAATGTAACCTTCTTCCATTCATGGGTGTGCTGTAGCCCTGATGAGCCTCAATGGCAAGTGCGAAACAGAGGCAGAGAGAATTGGTTGAAAAGCTCTAAGTCGTGTGGGAGCTTATTTCAATGAGTTACTGCTGTAAACATCAACTGACAAGCTTCCCCGGGTCATCTGAACACAAAGGCAGGCAGGACAACTTTTCAGAAACCAGTATATATACCAGAAGATCTTGGTGACCAAATCTTCGGCTAGAGCATGCCAACATAGCTTCACTGGATTTGACAGAGTTATTCCTACGGATGCAAGTTAAGTATCTGCCTCTGTGGGTGTTGGTTTGCATCTTCTGGTAGTAAACCATGCTTCATCCACTCACTCGTTCCTAGCTGGTGCTTAGCAACTTGCAATGCAAATCCAGGGTAAGTAGTGCATGTGCATGTGTCCGCATACACAGATCAACAGTCAAACTCGTCCCACTCTTTACAAACCCATGATCATGGAAGATTGTGGGGTATTTCCCCACTTCATTCCGTTACAAACCACTTCCAGAAAAAGTCATGGCTGCAACTCCCCCATCTCATTAGCATTGTAAAATGTTAGTGCAATTTGTTTTCCTGTACTGATGAATCCACTGAATCCACTGACAACTGGATTTGGAACCTGAATTTTAATGTCAACTACCATGAAAAAAAGCTTGCATTAATACACCGAGGACCTATTTAAAAAATTAATAGCAGTAATTTCAGAATTTAATTAGAGAAACTCTTGAATGGCCAGGATCATCTTAAAGAATTCATATAGATAAAAGTAACAACTAAAGAACACTGGAGCTTATATTTCCATTTATTTTTATTTTTCCTAAATGTTAGATATCTACTTTGTATATAATTTCATAATTTAGGCAAGCAACTTACTAAATTCTCCCTCAGAAGTGACAAATTACTGGACAGATGAGTCCACTATAAATTAATTACTGTAGTTCAATTACAACTATTGAAAATTTAAAGACACCTCATCTCTCTCACCTCAATTGTGGGTGGATCCTTTCTTTTCTTCCTTATCCATGCTGCAAAAGAAATAAAAATCAAATGGATTATTTCAAAGATCACACACTAACAGAAAGCAAATGTTCATATAAAAAATCACAATAGGATTTGCCACAACCTGGCAAGCCATACCATTTCCCAAAATATGAAGAGCCAAGATGTTATTTCCCATGTCAATACTTCCAGTCTTCACAGAGGAGAGCTTGGGCACAGTTTATGTACCACCCTGGCTGCCTAAACAGAGCTAAAAAAGCAGGGCTCATGGCCCAGGCCTGTTTGTTGGGTTTGCTATACAGAGCTGAGCTTCACCCTGAGAAAATCACAGCATAACTGCTGAAAAGTATGAAAAGCCTTAGACTGCTCTGTAGAAAAAGCGTTCCTGTATATGCCTCAGGCATTGTTAAAGCCAAAAACCTATTTATGTTACCACCAACCAGAATTCCTTTACAGGGATGCAAGATACAGCCCCAAACCTGACTGAGGGGCTGCAGAGCCCTGATTGCACCATGTCCTACAGCTGGGTGGGATCCCCCACTGCATGGAGAGGGAGGTATGGTAAAGGAGGGAAGGCTTCCTCCATCTCAGTCAGTTGATGCTGGATGAAAACAGAGGTGACATCAATTGTCCTGTGGCTCAGGTTTTCCGTGGTGAGGCAAAATCAGCAGGCTTATGCCCACTCGTGTTGCAAACACTGATGGTTAGCGTGGGACTGACTGGAGGCAGCAATCCAAAGGGACCCCACTCACAGACAGAGAAGCAGCTCTCCATTGGGTCCTGCTTCATTCACTTGATGAATTATTAGAGATAGCTCCAACTGTTAACAGGCATTACTTGGACAAACAAGTTACCAGACTGTGGACAAGGCAGTGAAAGTATCACTACTGTAGCGTTTTTCCATGCCTTTCAATCCACACAATTGGTAGGTACCAGGTTGTATATTTTGTAGACATTTGTCTTTCCTGCTCAGATTTTTCAAATGAATGAGTAGCAGAATGCAAGTGGCCAGTAATGATCAGAAGAACAAACATAAGGAAAGCTAGTTCCAAGTGCTGAGACATGGCAAAATGTTCTTTTGTATGTTTGTTTGGATAATTGAGACTTTTGTTACTGTGCTTGAAAATTAGAGCAAACCCGACATTTTCATTATCACACCGTCAAATTCCTGGTCTGACCTGTAGTGGTCTGTAAGTTTCAGAACTGCTTTAAGAAAGAACTATTCCAAATTTTAGTTCTCTAATACTATCTGTGCTGCATTTTGAGGGGAAGTAGGGAATGAGGCAAGCAGGAGGTCCAAAACACTAAAAGCTGCAGAGAGTCATAATGTCACCTCACTACTGAAAATGCAGTTACACATAGGGTGAAACACCAACACCACTCTGCTTCGGCAACATTATGAAACTAGTTTTAGGAGGAATAGCTTCCAATTAACATAAGAACGGAATTAAGTGAGGCAAATGGCATTATATAGCTTGGAATTTAGCCATGATGGCAAGGCCAACAGCCTTAACTCAAGGTTAATGGTAAAATACCTTTAACGACATGAAGCAAGGTTTGGTTCTTATCTATCAGATGACACTTTCTGAAGATGTGCTCTTTTAAATATCATTCTCAAACACCTTTTCTTAGAAACAGTCCCTGCCAGCTCTTCTCAGAGATCTTTTGGTCCTAACAAAGATTAGACCCAAATTTGCCATTGTGGAGAAGCAGCTGAGCACTTAGCAGTCAACATCATGTTAGAGGAAAGAAAAAAACAGCCCATTAAGATAATCCAAGAGACAACTAAATGACTTGCTATTAAATCTATAGAACTAGAAAACATTTTGCATGTACCTGTAGCACTTTCAAACATTTAAATTTTATGAGGATTTCCAAATGCAAAATCTGGCAAGATCAGAGACTAAACTGGCATGACTGAGACTGGCACTTCTCAGCTGACAGCCTTGCAGACACTATTTGTAAAGGAACCAGTGATGGTATTAGAGAAAATCATAGCACACAAGCCTTTCCTCCTGATAGAAGTCATCTTTGTCCATACTTAGCAACAGTTCCAACATCATCCAGAAAAGCAAGGAAGTGGTAGAGGTATCAGGTATAGTGAAGTATGTATAATAGACACTAGCCAAAAAAGGATATAGCTGGAGAAAAAGGAAAAGTATTAGTTTAAAATGTTTTGTAAAAAATTAAGTTTTAAACCTTCAAAATTTAAGGCATCATCTTCTGCCTTGCCATGCCTTGCTTCTGTCACACTGGTTTCAATTCCACAGCTCTCAGCACCTAAAAATTGCTTCATTATTTTGAAATTACAAGTATTTTCCTCAAACACCATCTGCATTTTAACTTCAACTGATTATAATGAGTGATTCTTCAAGAAAAAATCTTAAAATTTGAAATCCTACAAAAATTAAGCTGCCACTAAAAACTACTGCTGAAATATAACCATTAGAATAGATTTTCTTTCAATAGCAGATGGGACTTTTGGGCAGTTATTGGATTAATGACTTTCAGATGAATGGAATACTTCTATTAAAAGATTTTATCATTTAATTATCTGCCTCAGTTTAACAAGCCACAGACAGAACAGTGAAGGGTAACACAATGACACGTGTCCTGTGAACAGAAGCTCTGAAGCAAGGAGCGTTACACAACACATTTTCATTCATTCATAGATCTCAATTAGTACCAATACTCAAAAGCAACAAAACAATCCTCAATTTAGGAATATTTCTCATATCAAACATTCCATTATCAGACTGTATCTATTTAAATGCACAAATAATGCACACAGTTATAACATTGTGCTATTTTTCTTTCCAGCTATAACAAGCATTTGAATACATCTTTTTGTAGGAGCTATCAACCTTCCTTCTCTCTACCAAATGTCAGGACTATAAATCTTTTTCAGTTTAACCCTAAATAAAACTTGCTGACACAGAGACGGGATAGTATTTTCCAAATAACTACAGATAAAATAATTTTAACACCTTGTCATGGTTTAAGAATGACTGTCAACTAAGCCCCACCCAGCCACTCTCTCAAACCCCCCCACAGTGGGATGGGGGAGAGAATTGGAAGAGTAAAACTGAGAAAACTCATGGGTTCAGACAAAGACAGTTTAATAGGGAAAGCAAAAGCCATGCACTCAAGCAAAGCAAGGAATTCATTCACCACTTCCCATGGGCAGGCAGGGGCTCAGCCATTCCCAGGGAAGCAGGGCTCCATCGTGTGTAATGGTGACTTGGGAAGACAACACCATGACTCCAAATGTTCCCCCCTTCCTTCTTCTTTCCCCAGCTTTATATGCTGAGCATGATGTCATAGGGTATGGAATAGCCCTTGGGCCAGTTGGGGTCAGCCGTCCTGGCTGTGCCCCCTCCCAACCTCTTGTCTCCTTGCTGGTGGGGTGCAGAGTGGAGCAAAAAAGGCCTTGACCCTGAGTCAGCCCTGCTCAGCAATAGCTAAAACATCCCTGTGTGATCAACACTGTACCCAGCACAAATCCAAACCATAGCCCCATGCTGGCTACTGTGAAGAAAATTAACTCTACCCCAGCCAAAACCAGCACATATCTCTAATGAGCTGCATTAGAAAATCATTATTTAATAAAGAATCCTTCACTGCTATGTAGCTGAGGGAGAAATACAGTAACAAAATTTACTAAAATCTCTTTATAGACATATGATGAAGTTGGTTAGCTTTAATATATTATATTCCCTCTGTGCAAATCCATTTCTGAAAAATTCTACATAAAGCACAGCTCAAGATACAAGACTAAAAGCAAAGAAAACATCATCTGAGTTGATCCTATTTTCGCATATGGTACTTCAGCATCTAGTAGTTTTATCAGTCTTTCAAAAGCAGTAGATTTTTCTAATAGTTCACCTAACCACTCCTCAGTCTTTGGGGAGAATAATGGGAAGACTCTAACATATTAAATCCCCACCAGTTTTTAGGTGGTTCTCTTTCACACAGAAAATTTTAAAAGTCTTGTAATATTTTCTAAGGTGTCAACAATACTTTGAGCTTCCAACACAAGCTTCAAAAAAACACCAACACCTTATAACTCAGGCGTAAGAGAAATTCATGGTAACAATTAAAGGAAGAATGAATGTATACAAAGATATAACCAGTGATTTACTACTGAGTTAGCACTAATTTTAACAAAATTCAAGTAAATGCTATCTTGAAATTAAGACATTTTTCATTCTCTTTGAAAAATATAGTCAGCATATACAATTTAGCAATGGAAAAGCTCTCCCCCCTTTGTGCTCTCTGTTACACTTTTAATCAATGCAGGTTTAAATGACTGAGAAGATTTATACCACAGTTAAATATTTGTTGATGGAAACAAGGCAGGTAGGTGCTTTATTATTTGAACACCATATGCACACATGCATACAATTAATTTAAAAGTGTCCGGTGACAGTTATA